AACTGTATTATACTCCGCATTAAATTCACATGTTTGTTATAAATGGGGCAAAACTCACCAAGTGTACCAGGAAAAAAATTTTACGGCAGCATTTTGTTCAAACTCCACCACGTTGTTGCTAATGGTTACTGGGTAATCAATGTGTGAAAGAATTTTTTTCTACCGCGGTTTTTTGTCCAGTTATAGGAGTTGAAACAACCAAATTTCAGCCCTTTTTCGTAGTCACAAGTTTTCTTAAAATTCTTATCCCATGTCACACTTATGATAGAGAACTTTTTCCGTGTTTTTTGTTTTTTTTTGATGAAAAGTATAATTTGTTGCAAACATTTTTTTTCTTTGTATTGCATTTTTTAAACAATGCACCATTTTGGTTTTTTATTTGCAAATAGCTTATTTCGATAGCTTATTTTCTGAGCTTTCCGTGGCAAAAGGACTACAAGTTTTTCATAATATGTATGTACAATGCACTAGGGTCCACCTTTCATTTTTCAGCCTCATTGCGTAAGTCGTAAATTAGGCTAAATTGTACGACTCGACAACGTTGGTATTGTCTACTGTCGTGCTGAAATGAGTAAACGACGAAAGTCGTCGATAACTATACAGTGTGCCAAGTTTTTCCGTTTTAATATACTAGTCGAGTGGAAATTTTAGACAATAAATACATGCAAACATACTGGTCTCCCATCTCACTGAGTTATTCAATCTGATTTTACATAAAAAAAAAACTTTAAAGCTGACTAACAAGCAGATAACCTTGATACATATTGTATATCTAGATACTCTAATATTTGTAAACGCATTTTAATATTCCGGAATAGCAATGGCGATATTAATAAGCTGTGCTTAGAATCCACACATTCTCGTATTGGCCGAAAAACATTAACATTTTCGCCAAATCGAAATCGGTTCAAATCAACAGGGTGTTACCAAATTAAATTGAATTAGTACAAATCGCATTAGTAGCCTGATGTGTACGCACATACCTACATAGTTCACTAAGCAGCTGCGTACACTTTGCCTGACAGCTCTGCATGGCAGTATTGGCTAACTTCGCAACCCCAACCTTCGCAACCACTTTGTTGCGCAAACAAGGCTGACTGCAAATGGCTAAGAACAGCCGTGGAGGAGGTGGCTTAAACCAAAATACAAAGCCAATCTATACAAATAGTTGTAGAGAAGCATACAATGGCACTAAAATGTGTACGGCCGAGATTGTTTTAACATACATACATACATACATACAGGCGGCTGGCTGCATGTGTGTGGGTGGTGGGTGGCTATTGACTCGTTTGAGGTCGACCACTCAACCTGATTATCGAACCACTAGACAGCTCATTAAAATTTCTCAATTGATTTTGCCGCCTCTCTTCACTTGCCAATTCCAGAGCGCTGCACAAACACCAAAGCTTTTTCAATTTAAATAATAAATTAAAGCGATACCAGCAAATGCAGGAACTCAAACAAAACAGCAGGAAGTAAAACAAAGAGAAGAGATCACAATGAAGAAAAAAAAACAAAACAAAAAAACAAAAACCAAATCAAATACAAGTACAAATAAACAATCAGTTTCAATGTAATGGCAAAAAGTCAGCAGCAATGCGTCCGACATTGAAGAAGATGAAAACCGCAAATATCTGCGGTTAAAATGAAATTTGCTGTTTCGGCCATGCAGAGATGTGTGGCATGGTAGCCAATTTTAGTTGCTGCTATTGCTGTGACTGCTACTGACATGTTGGCTAATGGACAAGCGAGTGATTGGCTTGCATGAAGTAGTGGCAGCGTTTGCTGGCCAGCAACCACTCAGCTACTGATTGTCGAAATCAAAAGTCAATTAGATTTGTGCGGCTGCAGAAGGAATTCAAAAAAAGAAAAAGTGAAATAGACAAATTCATAAAAATCACTTTAATTAAGAAATGAAATTTAAGCGAATGACTTTTTTCATTTCGTCTACAGCCAGTAATGCCTTTCGTTGAGCAATCAACGTTGAAATTTTTAGTGGCCACTTTAAGTACAGGTACTTATTTGTGCAGCAGCAGACTACGTTGTGTTCATTCATATGTATGTATGTGGCTATGTGGGTATGAACATATCGTTACCTTAATATAGGAAAGGCCCTAACTCATTGTTTTCGAAATTCCGCTTTGTACAAAAGGGAGTAAATTACTCACCAACGAGTAAAAATAATTTAAAAACAAGTAATACATAATTAAAATTAGTTTCTGTGTTTATTAAAAACCTGGGCACTGAAAAAATTACCAACCAAAGATCCTTGGTTTTTATAAAGTTTAATAACAACTTTTTAAAAAACGAAAATATTAGATAGGGCCCTTCTATATTATGGTATGTATGTATTTCTGTATAACTGTCTTTTTTGAACGATGAAGTTGTGCCTGTCAGGACCATATTTTAATACATACGAATTTGTGTGTGTATTCCTTCCTCACTGCTTTTTGGAAGCTTTTCTCTACTTTCTTTTCCCTAGCGCCGCGCTGCTTTTGTCAAATGATTCACATACGAGAAGCGGTGCATAGTGTGCAATTCATGCTGAAAACTGTACAAAAATGGTCCTTTTTCGGGAGCATACTGGTTCACACTTAAAAAAAAAACAGTCCAATTAGTTTTTAAAGGCATGAGTTAGAATCGCTTTGCACCATTCTTATTTAGTGTGTTGGACACTATATCACTTTAGACCAAATTCAAAATTTTTTTTTTTTACACTTATTTTTATTTTATTTATTAATTTTTAAGTTTTTTCAATTAAAACACAGCTCATTCTCACACAACCCAAGATTAAAATTTGAAGGACACTAAAAAAAATTCATCAAATTTTCCTCCACCCCCAAATTTCAAACTTATTTCTCAGTAGTGCTAAAAATTGTTTAAGTATAATAATGTGAAAGTGCCAAGCGGATAAGAACTATTCCAATTTTTTACCCACTGTATTGCGGTTTTCTTCCATATAGATGGAAGCAAATGCGACAAAATATTCTAAAAAAATCAGCAGTAAAAAATCGTAAACATTAATAAATAGATGTATGTACATACATATGTCAGTGGCAGATAATGTCATTATGAATTTGGTCCAAAATGATGTGGCACACTGCATGTGCTCAATAATAAAATAGCATCGGCGTAGTGGTTGAGGATTAGGAAATCTGATGTAACAATTTTGCTTCCTACATTTAAGCACCACCCTAATGTATATATAGGTCATATAGCTCGCACTTTGATTGGTCACAGCCCGGTGAATAAAGTGAGATGCCTGCAATTTAACGTTATTTGACAAGTTGATCCCAATCGGCCACACCCCCCACCCCCCAAATAAAATCCTGTATCCTGATTGCATGACGATATTTTTCACATATTTTACGTAAGCAAAAATCCACTGTGCGTAGCCACTATGCAGTCGAACACAATTGTTTGGAAAAATTAAATTTCATATTGACCGCTGTTGGAAAAATTCAGCATTTCATTTCGTTTCTCTTTTTTCGGAATCGTATGCAGCGCGATTGCCATTCAATTCTAGCCAACAAGTGACAGGTTGTCAAAGTGACAGTTGGCAGCTGAGCTGTTGGTGAGAAAGAAGGCTTGGCAATTGACCATTGGCAGCGACAGTGACAAATAACTTAATTCAGCAGCGAAATGTGAATGTGCGTTTGTCCGAATGCCTTTCAAAGCTCTCACCAATCGACCGACACCCAACTCAGGCCAGCTGAAAAGGATTTAAAAGGATTTCACTATTCAGCTGTCACTGGGGCACATTGATGTATTTATGAATCGAGGCAGTTTTGTGAGTTTACTAAAGTGTTTGTTGTTGCAAACCTTTGCTTTAATTCAATTCCAGAAGCAAAGTATTTAAAGTTTAAAAGAAAATTTAATAAATTTTTTGCCCAAGGCAAAATAAAGTTTTTGTTTTATTTATTTTCCATGGAACACAAGTAAGTGCACTTGTCTTTTGGCAAGTTCATCAAACAAGTGCTTGCTCTGCACTGCCACTGCGTAGACCCTCTTAAACTCTCGTGAACTTTAGTGGTGCAACATGGCACTCATTTAAACCAGCAACCTCTCTCTCTCCCCCCTCGAAAAGGAATAGGAATACATTTCGGCAGTCAAGTTGGCAGTTAGCTAAGCAAACAGGCAAATAACCAATCCGCACAAACAACCAGTCAAAGTCGAAATAACAAACCTAAATGCTCCTTGTAAGTACATACAAGCTTGCGTGCGTTTACTAAGTAAGTTGCATCATCCTTACCCATCAAGTCTGCAGCAGCTTTCAGCGGATAACAAAACAAAGCTTCATTACGTTAAATACTTGCCTCAAACCAAAATGCACAACATTATAAATAACAATAACAACCACACGTGCTTTGAAGTACTATGCCGTCGTTTCGTCGCTTGCTTGGGAGTTAGCTATCCATCCACTCTTCTTGGATCGGGGTAAGGAGCAACAATAACAAGAATTTACGATGCTTCTGCGTTTCATAAAACATCAACATACATTAAAATAATTCAACTGCACCCAGCGTGGATATCCTGTTGGAAATCAACACCTGACATCTGCTGGCCGCATGCAGGACATGAAGAGACCACGCCTCTCCACGATCACTAACTTTTGCAGAGGCCTTCTCAAACAAGGGTACGTTTTGTCACGGCTCCTCGTAAGACTGCCGTAGGTCGGCATCAATGACTTCATTGACATCGGTGAACTACTTTCCAACTGGGTAGGTGCGCTTAGCTTTTTTTTGCTGCACTTTTCACGTATGTTTTTGTATGTAGAGTTTTTAGCAAGCGTTTCAGCTTATGGACTATTTGCATTGGATAGAAGGTTCTCTAGGAGTATTAAGTAGACACACAGCGTTTTGCTTGAAACATTTTACCGAATGCCCCGCGGTATTGCTATGCTACCGGTAAGCTTATAGTTCAAGTTTAACAGAGCATTAAGTTATTTCGAGGAATAGAATTTGCAAATACTCATTTTAATTAAATATGTACGTAAAATCAGTTTGTCATAAATTTCAACTTTCAAACTTCCTCATCACCTCCACCATGTGCTTGTGTGCCAATTCACGCGCCTTTAAGCCCCACAACATGGTCATGTGATTCCATTTCTTATTTGGATACAAGCAGTCTTCCGCAACATTTGGCAACTCTCTTGCCAGCTGCATCACATCCTTGTAGCTGCTCAGATGATCGTTGTAGGTGTAATAAAGCGCCACAGGGGCAGTGATTTTCTTGATTGCATACGCTTTCGGTTGTGTGCTATTGTAAAGTTTTAGGTTCGCAGCTGGTCCACAATCGTATTGACGAAATCGGCCTGAGTCGATTAGCTGGTTGTAGTGTTTTATTTGTTTCATATTGCAGCCATTCGGAAAATGGGCAAGGTGCACTGGAGCCATTGTCTGCCAAAAAAATGGAATGTTTACAATAGATACATACATATGTAGTAATTGTGTACACTTAGTAACTCACGGCATTCCACATTTCGGCATCCTTGCCCACCACTTGGTACAATAAATCAAAACAAGTAGTCTCGGTCATTTTCGAGATGAAGCAAGTTCTCCACAAATCTGTGCGCGGTAGAAACTCGTTGATTGTATTGCCTGAGATGGTCATGAAGTTTCGCGCTAAGGGCAGCAAAGGCGCCTGCAGGTTTGCCATATAAGATACCGGTGCAAGTGCACTCATCACGGTGATCTTTTCATTGTAGTCGGGGCGTGTGGAAGTCATTACGAAAAAGGTGGTGGTGCCCTAGAACGGAGTTAATCCTAAGTCATTGTCAATAAAAAAATATAGACTATTATTTAAATTTACCTGCGAGTGTCCGAAATATGCCAGCTTTGCAAATTTCGTTTGTTTCAAAACGTAGTCGATCATGGCTGGTAAGTCATAATAACCAATTTCGTGCCAACTAAATTGCCAAAATGATTTATCAGTATCGGGATTAAAGTGTGAGTGGTTGCGTGAATAGAAATTGCCACGAGCATTACCCATCCAGACGTCATAGCCCAAATCAAAGAGATAGTATCCTATATAGAAGGAAAGTGTGTGGATAAGAAGAAGGTTATGGCAATGACAGCAGCAGCGGAAACTCACCCAAGGCGCTCCAGGGCCCACTCAATAGCCAAGTGATCGAGCTGTCCAACAAGCCGTGCATAAGTAAGATCGGGCGCGCTTTGGGTCGTGGCAACCGGAAGAGCCGCAAAATATACTTGTCTTCGGTGGTGACATAGTGGCTCTCCAAGGGATAATTATATTTGCGGGTCAGGCCAAACTGTGTAGGGGTGGAGAAAATTACGCATTCGAGATTATTTTGAAATCTAAGAAAGAGAGTTTGGGCGAGTTTAGGTTGAAGTGGCTGCCAATGACCCCACTACCATATCTAGGCCCTTAACGTGGAACGTCTAAACCCTTTTACTCAAATCATCCTGCGGAGTATGCAAAATATAAGCCTTAGACGAATTCACTGGCAAAATCAGCTATCTTAGAGATCTTTATGTGACCGAGTGTTTGGAAAATATGGAGTTTAAATCGCTCGCACTCGAGCTGCGTAATAATTGCCGAAATTTCGCAAACTTGTGCTTTCTTAAAGCTCTATTGCCATGGGCGTACGCTTGCGCATTCACAGAGGTTTTGTTGAAACAAGAAAAATGAAATCATCACTACAAGAATTTATCGATTTGCAGAAGACACTCGAAGACTATTGTTTAAACAAACAAGTAATCTTTTAACAAAAATAAAACCGACTTCAATTCTCATGTAAAACATTAAGATTACCGTTAATTTCTTCATGATCCAATAATCGGATTTAAAACAAATTAGGATGGGACCACCTCTGAGGTGCCACCTTTCCTTTAAAGGAGAATTATCGAAATCGGTTTTGCGGTAACATATGTACATAAAAAAATATTCCGACGAATAGATAACCTCCTCCATTTTTTGAAGTCGGTTAAAAATAATGAAAAAATTACGATTTTGGTGTAAAGACGAATTCGCATTTTTAAATTTGCATGAAATTAAGGTAACTAACAAATTTGTATTTCAACTCTTCATTAAGTTCATAATAAACCTTATGCAATATAAATTCCTTTGTAGGGCTCGGTACAACTCAGTTGTTACAATAACAAGTAATTTTTAAGCACAACTGACTTCAATTCTCATATACAAATTTAGAAAACCAAATTAGTATGGGACCAAAGTTATGCGGTAACATACATAAAAAAATTCCTATGAATTGATAACATCCTCCTTTTTTTGAAGTCGGTTAATAAGAGAAAAACTAATGAGGTAAATTATAAATTTTTAATAGCTATATTTTAACATTTCTAATTAAATTTACATAAAAAAATCCCTGCAAATTTAAAGAATTGTTGCCGAAATTGCGCAGTAAAATTATTTTGTTACATTTCATTTGCTAGTGATGAGCAAGCAATTGCCAAAATTTTTCTCCTCGAATGCGTGGTGCAGACATTGTCATTCGGATTTTCGCGTAGAACATTTTTCTTCAGAAAAACTAGCACTGCCGCGTTTATGGCGATTCTAATACATCTCTATTGTTCTACACTTTCTCTTCTATAGGTTCATCGTTTGGTGGCCGGCTGAGGCCATAAAACAAAAATAACTAAAAACAAAATAAACTAGATGGGACAGCATACGGTAAGCCACCTACCAGCTGTAAAACAACTACATTAAACGCAAGCCACACCTGGAGACGACTTGCACGGACATTCGAGAATTCTGCACACAGTCCAGTACTTTTATGAGCTGTTTTATGCCATCCAGCGCACCATTCTGCCAAAAAAAAAGCCTCTAAAACGATCACCCAAACGAACGAATGGGAAAATTGCTCAGACCTTGACCCAATGTCCGCTTGCTTGCTTACTGATGATACAAAGCGGAGCAACATGAAATGACCCGCACCGACCTTCCCTATTCACTCTGGCAACCAAGCATCCAAGAGATATCTACAATGTATTAGCACCTCGTCGAAGGTAGCAACTGAATTAATAAATGTGTATATATGTAAATATGTATGTACTTCGAACGAATTGCCGGAAACTGCACAGCACGCGAGCTTTAGCACTGAGATGGCTAATTATTTAGATCACAGTGGTTCAGCTTGGTTTGTATCACAAAGTCATCTAAATATTAAATCAGATTGAGTTCTGCATAACCTAGTCACTGTTGATTGATTCTGTTAAGGTTTCCTAAGATATCTTCATTCAAAAAAGGTATATAACTAGCTTAAGTTTTGTATTAAAACCAACCATATCCAGAGTAGTATCCTCCAACACGGACGCTGGATATTTGTCCTCCAAATAACCGGCCATGCTCGGCTGGGATAGCAAAAAGTTGAAGACGGTGATCACAGCTAATAAGAGAAACATCTTACACAATTCGCTTTTACTATTATAAATTATTTTAAAATTTAACTCATATTTTAATTTCTACTAAGCGCTTCCGTTGCCCGGTTAAAAAAAAAAAACAATGTTATGCGGCAAATTTGATTGCGTTACTTTGATCTATCGCCCGCGAGAACTAAAATTACTTTGAAGGTTGCGCTTTCAACGGCGAGCTTAGTTAATTTAAATAAAAGTTAAATGTTGTACTCACAAATATTTGTGTGTAATTTACTTAATATGTAATGTCACATATCTACATACGAGTACCTATGTATGTACATACATGCAATTCAGCCATTCTGGTGTGATTGTGTTTATTTAAAATAGTTCATTAAGCAAATAAATCTGTCATTTTTGAACGTGTGGCTCTGCAAAATGCCATTAGCTAGAACAATTATAATAATTAATAGCACAAACATACATGCATACATACACACATACATACATACATGCATAATGAGAAGCGCATGAATACTAAGCTGGCTCACCAAAAAAGGGCAACTATCTACCGAGTGAATAAAGATATTTGCTCTAAATATTTTATGAATGTTACCAAATCTATTGAAAATATATATATACCACTAATAATTATATTTGAAACATTTTTGCAAGGAAAAATTTTTTTTAATGTGCTGAAACTTCTAAGAAATGCATCATTTTTAAATTTCACTCTTATTTAAATTTAAAAAAAAATCAGCTTTATTCATATCGCTTAATACGTTGTTCTCAATAAAGTCAAGCTAACCCATTGCTGACTGATTTGTTTTCACATAGAGCGCAAGGCATCCCAAAGCACATACGTATGTAAATATATATATATATATATAGGGGCATATAAAAGTGCATTCCCCTGATGATTTTGAGTGCGTGATATATGTACATATCTTGAAAAAGTATTTTATTCTAGTGTTTTTTTACAATGTTTTTTTGTTTTTCACCTTATCTATATATATAAAATTCAAATTATGTATGTACCTATAGACACACTTGGCTCCTAAACGAATAAGCCGATCGTAACCAAATTTTACACACGCACTGGATATCTTCCAGGGATGGTCACAGGGTAAAAAATATTTTGATATATAAAGGGGGCGTGGCCCCAAAACGTGGACCCGGGTAACCTTAGGATGTATTTGTTTAATATGGGTATCAAATTAAAGCTGTTCATGAGTGCTTTAAGATAGAGCAATTTTCATATAGCTGGGTGACTAGGGTCTCGAGATATAGACCAAAATGTGGACCTGGGTAACCTTGGGTGTATTTGTTCAATATGGGTATCAAATGAAAGCCGTTCATGAATGCTTTAAGATTGAGCACTTTTCATATAGCTGGGTGACTAGGGTCTCGAGATATAGACCAAAACGTGGACC